GTAAAGGTGGAATCTTGATTTTATTACAATCTAGTAATGCTTTGCAAAATTGAATTTTGACCAATGCTCTGCAGTTTGTGTTCAAACCTATGTGTAGATTTGGCGTTGAGGTTGACTAAATTCGATTTCTTGCTGGTTGAAAGTCTTGAAAACTAAATATTTGGTTCTTGGGGGGCTTTATGAGTTAGTATTGTTAAGTAATATCAGAGAGTTGAGAAGATTGTATGTGTGAGGAAAACATCAGTTTGAAGGGAGCTGATGTTGATGACAAGCCATAGACCAGAAGAGATGTGAGAATGTGGGCTTTGATGGAATAGAAAGGAAAGTGTGGGGGTGAAATTTTGATATTTAAAAGAGTTGTGGGGGATCTTTTTGTGGAAGGCAAGGGAAGTGAAGAAAATGGCAGCAAAATTATTACATTCTTTGACAGATGAAAATCCTGATCTGCAGAAGCAAATCGGATGTATGACCGGAATTTTTCAGTTGTTTGATCGACAACATATTCTAACCAGTGGCAATAGGCGCTTGGTAGGCCATACTCCAAAAAGGCTTCCCTCAGGTAATTAAACTATCTTTTATTCAATCTGATTTATCATAATTGATCAGTTAACGTTGGTTGACCGCAATCTAAGCTTCAGGGGAAGAATACTGCCAACTTTTTATCTTGAGTTTGAAACTTTCACAATAATGTAATCGATATGTTGATGTGAGTTCGGTTTATGGCCACATGTTTATGAAAATTATGTACCACTTAATAAGCAGTTCATATCTGTTATAATATTACCTTTCCTTCATTATTTTGTACTACTTGCAACTGTGATGTCATTGTCTTAGTTCTCATTTCAGTTGTTCTGGTGAAAAATAAATATCCATAGTAATCTTAGCCAGATAATAGAATCACATCTCATCACCAAATATTTCCAATCTATTTAGTTATTTTTTGTATATTATATTTGCAGGAAATTCCCACTTCCATAGCTTGGACAGAGATTCTAATAATAAGACATACGGAAGATCGGCATCAACGGTATGGCTTCTGGATTTTAAGTTTCTTATCCTGTAAAGTTTTACACTCGAGGGTTAATTCGATTTGGTATGGGATTGCATATTTTTCTTGAGGCTTATTTCATTTATTTTTTTTTTTTAAGAGAGAAGATCTACTGGGTATGGAAACAATACATTCTTGATCTTCATTTCTCTTATTTTGGATATTTTTTGAAATTCTTTTATTGTTGANAAAAGGTATCAATATTGAAATTCAGCAACTGCTATTTTTTGATTTTGAAGTAGGCAACTTAATCATGTATCATCTTGTGAACCCCCCAAGCCCGTTTCTGATTGTAAAGATTTATTTGTAATTACCTTAAAGAAGGTTAAAGCGTATTCATAAAATTTTCATTTGTATAATTTCTATAAGGGACTTCATTTTGTCACTAACAAATAAAATGAAAATGTCGACACCTATACTAAAAGACGATTATTTTTGGCGTTTTAAGATTGAGTAATCTCGATTACTACTACTGCATCACCAGTTGATCAGATTCTCATGCAGGCTGAAAGATCAAATTGTTAGTTTTGAGAATGATCCGAATGAGTTAAGAAGCAGAAGTTAGTTTTGATTGTATATAGAGGCATCAAATCGTTTAAGTTAAGATAGAGTGTTCTGTAGAAAAGTCGAAACTTTTCTTCATTTATTGTGGGTAAAAGTCGATCTAGAATCAGAAATTCAAAGCAAAACTCTCCCCTCGCTTCATAACTCTGTTTAAATGATGCAAAAATCGAGAGTCGCATACGCTAAACACACCTTATTTGGTTGCTAAAAACTTACAAACCATATTTTTTAGTGATTGCAAATACTTCCTCACTATATCTCATGCTCTTTCAATATCTGTCTCACATCTTATTCTTTGCATTTCATTCCAAGTCAATCGTTTCGCACGAGAATTCTAACACGCAACTATCTTTTTAACCGCAGGAGAAATATTCAACTCCACTTAAACCCACCCAAGAAAGACAAAGAATCTCGACCGAATCATCTCGAGCCTCCTTCTCTTCTTCATCCCGCTCGTCTTCCTTCTCCTCCCTCGACTGCAATCGAGCCCCTCATCTCGATCCCGCTCCCTTTGACCGAATCATATTCCCCGAGACCCCTTCCCAAGACCCGGCCATGAGCTTGCAGAACTCTTCCCCTCAGTCCACACGACAAAACCTCGACATCCGTGATTTAGTGAAAGACTCAATGTACCGCGAAATTCACGCTATATCACTTAAACCCAAGGACTCCCCAAGACCTCAGCCTAGAACGAGCTCCGACTTGAAAGAATCACTCAAAACACTCTCCAAGCTTCAAGAATCTCCTTGGTACCAAAACGAGCCCCCTCGAGAGCTTTTACGGTCCGCATCCTACCATGCGAAAGAAGGTACAACATCCTTTTCGATCTGCCGTGACGCGCCTCGCTTCTCTTACGACGGGAGAGAAGTGAACCGGGCCCCACTCGATTTTTCCAAATCGGGCCCCAAGCTTCGGGATGCGCCCAGGCTGTCGTTGGATTCGCGCGATTCGAAATCAAGCGTTTTCTTGAGAAGTTCCGTTGAGATTATTCCGCAACAGGTGGCGGTGGGAAATCAATCGAGGCCTCCGAGTGTGGTGGCGAAGCTGATGGGTCTCGAGGCGCTGCCCGACTCAGTCACGTCGAGTAACGACTCGAATTCTGTCGTGGGCCAAAGTTTTTCGGACGAAGATTTTTTCGATATTCCGTGGCTATCTGCGAAAAAGGGTCAGAAGTCTGTTCAAACTTCGAGTTCCTTGAGGAAGAAGGAACCTTCTATGAAGCCCATTTCACGATTTCCCATCGAGCCGGCGCCTTGGAAGCAAATTGACGGTGCTAAGAGTTCTCAGAAGGCCGTAAGAGCTCCACCGAAGGCCTCGACTGCATTTCCTTCTGTCTACAGTGAGATAGAGAAGAGACTTCAGCATCTCGAATTCACGCAATCCGGGAAAGACCTCAGAGCACTTAAACAGATACTCGAGGCCATGCAATCCAAAGGGTTCTTGGAAAACGAGAAGGAAACCCAAGCGCAGGGCCTGAATGAGCAGAAACATTCGAGTTCGGTTAGCAACAAGCAAAAACAATGGGCCGGCCCTCCAAGGAAACATTACGAGTCCCCTATTGTTATCATGAAACCGGCTAAGTTAGTCGAGAAATCGAGTGTACCGTCATCTTCTGTTATTCCACTCAACAGCTTACCCAGTCTAACGAAACCTAATACTGAGTCTGTTGATAACAACACAAAGGGTTTAAGCAGCGGGAGAAAATCCGGTCAACAAGCCAATGCTGTGAATTCTGTCAATATGATGAGAAATGAGAGGACTTTGAAAAACACACAGACATCGTCGAGAGTATCATCACAGTTGGGCAGAGATGGAAATGTGGGGACAGGTAAGAGTACGGGAACAGGAACGGGATCTATCAGCCCAAGAATGCAACTGAAGAAAATCGAGATGGAAAAAAGATCTCGGCCACCCACTCCTCCAGATTCTGGAAAATCTAGACGTCAGCCGAACAAGCAACAAGGTGACTCGTCTAATTCTCCTGGCGGGAGGCGAAGGCTGAAACTTACCGGCGTACAGCTGCTAAGTGTTGACCAGCCGCGTGAGGCTAATGTTGATTCTAGTAGATACTTTGAAAACGAGACCTTAATTCAGTCACATGAAAGTATTACGCAAAGATCCTCTGCGGCAAGCAGTTGTGAGAATCTATCAGTGAATGCTTCTAAATTCGTGTTATCTGATTTGGTAGAAAAGGTAAGGTCAATTCTATTTTTGTATCTTATACATCAAATTCGATATGAACTTTTTTAATTTGATAATCTGTCTGTTTCTTGATTTATTTATTTCAGAAATCTACGAATGAAGCAGAGTCGAGAGATTTTGGATTTGTTCCTCCCGAGTATTCAAGTCCCGTCTCCGTTCTCGATAAGGTAGTCTGCAAAGATGATTCTCCTTCTCCCGTGAGTTATGTTGGGAAGACCCTTAAAGGTAATTCTTTCTTAAACTGGAAATCACAGCTCTATGTCCTTGTGAAAGCTATGAATGTATGTGGCTTGCCATGCGTTCTGCAGGCGATTCATCATATTTTTACATAAAATCTGTACCAACACATTATTAAAGCCTACCGGGGTCTAATATTCCATAAGATGTTCATTACAAGAATGTAGTTTATATTTTCGGAAAATACCAGACTCTTTATATCTCATTTTAGTTCATCATCGGTTCTTTTCATCGATTTGCCTCTGTTTCGTTTTCCCAAAAAGCGAATATTTCCACTGTTGACTATAGAATTAACCGAAAACAAGAGCAGATTACGGTT